TTTTTTTTTTTTTTTTTTTACTGTGGTAAATAAACCTTACTGTGTTTGAGCCATTTTGCATTTTGGGCTCTCTTTGTAATAGCAATCAGTACACATATCTAGGTTTTACTTTTCTTTAAAGATGTTTCAAAATATTTGAACATGCTACCCACCACCATCACCACCACCAAAAGAACTAAATACTTTTCTTTTCGTAGGACTGATGAGGGAGCTATAGAGCAAGCTGAGGGCAAAGCACAAGCTAGCACACACACACACACCCTACCAGGTGGGAAACGTGTGAGATTCCTCAGGTATTTCAGGCTGCCCAAGAACAAAGGAAAGTACAGAAAACAAATGGTTAAACTGATACAATTACCAAAAAAAGGAGGATCTTACCAATAGCCTAAAGTCCAGGAACTCCCTACTGTCATAAAGTCAACGCTTTGCTAGAGGGAAAAACAACCTTAGCTTGACATTAGCTAGGCCTCCAGTAATCTGTGAGTCTTCTTTAGCATATAGAAATACCTTTATAAACTTCCTCTTGACTTTACTTCCCCCATCTTCATACTATGTGATCAGTCACTCTTCACAACCCCAGTGAAGCTCTTTCTGCCCACAGGTCCTGTCTCCGTGCTTTAATAAGATCACCTTTTTGTGCCAAAGACGTCTTCGAGAATTCTTTCTTGGCCATCAGCTCCGAACCCCACCATCACCCCAAAACCCCATCAGGATCATTTTCAAAATTAAGATGATATCCAGAGTTTCCTACATGTTCCCTGAAAACAGTTCTCAGGTCCTGAATTAGTTTCCTGGCAACAAATAATGACAAACTGGGTAGTTTAACACAATAAAAATTTGTTTCCTCACCGTCCTGGAGGCTAAAAGTTCAAAATAAAAGTGTGGGTTGGCAAGGCTGTGCTCCCTCTGAAGGCTCTAGGGAAGAATCCTTGTCTCCGAGCTTCTGGTGGTTACCGGCATCCTTTGCCTTATAGCTGCCCCATCCCCATCTTTGCCTCTGTAGACACATAGCCTTCTTCCCGGTGCGTCTGTGTGTCACATGGCTTTCTTCTGGGGACACCAGTCATTGGATTTAGGGTCGACCCTAATCCAGTAGGACCTCACCTTCACTGATTATGTTGTCAAAAACAACCTCTCTGCTTCCGGGCCAGAAGACAATGCGAACACAGAGTTTGGGGTAAAGAGGAACAATAGCTTTGGGGCGCCTGGATCGCTCAGTTGGTTAAGCGTCCAACTTCGGCTCAGGTCATGATCTCATGGTTCATGGGTTCCAGCCCCGCATCAGGTTCTGTGCTGA